ACTGCGAAGAATGAAGCAACTTCTTTGAAATTTTGCTCTGAACTCACCTCATGATACAAGGTGTGGGACAGAATCCGGAGGGTACTTGAGGAAGGAGAAACCTGGGCCCTTTGCTTGACAACCTCAGATGGAACCCGTATGAGGCATGCAACCTGCAAAAGAACCGTACGTTCAGAGAGCAATTCCTTTTGCTGCCTTACTCTTCAGATAGCAGACACATTTGGAGATTGTTCCAAGTACAGAAACCTGAGAAACGAAGAAATCATTTTTGTAATTATACGAGTTGAACTTAAAAGCTGTTTATGAGCAGCTTATGTATTTGCTCTGAGCGCTATGTACTTTCTGAACACAAAATTGTACTAACAGAAAAATGGAAGTACCCTTGAAATTTTTAACTTCCAAACCAGAAGTAGATTTGGGTGAGGAAAATCACCAATGAAACCAAAATTTTGAAGCCATCCTATCCTTTGGCAGCCACAGGAATTTTTCCCCACCACTTTCACAGATCTGAACTGGAGAGTCAGGACTTGAACAACAAACTTCTTTCCTAGGTACTTCCTTTGCGCCCTCTAGTGACTGAGAGCAAGAGACACTCAGGTTAGCTTTAGATGCACACAATATATTCAAGGTTTACCTTAAAACACACACTGGATTTCATTCAAGATGAATCATTGGACTGATTCTTTCCCACACAATGAATTTATTAGGCAAGAAAGGCCCCTGCCGCTGGATGTAATAATGTGGCTGCTGCCACAAAGCTCCAGCTTTTCTGAAAAAGCCAGACCTGGCTTTAAAACGTTCACCTGCCACTACAACTTCAGGTAGGAGTTAAGCTTGTGTGCACATAATTTTGAGGAATGAGGATCCTGAAGTGTCGGAGAGTTACAAGCCTCTCATCTCTCTAGAAAATGCCTGTTTATCAGCACTTAAACTTTTAAGAAGAGTTTGTCTTCAGTTGGCCCCAGGGATACTTAAAGCAGTGCTGGGACTGGTGGCAAAACACCAGAGACACCACAGGCCCTCACCAGATTCTTAGCCTTCCTCAGTCCCATCCTGTGCCGGGCTCAGGAACACACTGCGACGAACCTGGTCCCTAGACATAAAGGTGATCACCAAGTACTTCAAGTCAACAGCAAGCTAGGTGAAAACTGTCCATCTGAAGTGGCAAAACAAGCTGCTAACTCAGAAACCCACATGGGCCAAAGAGAGTGTAAGTTCAGGAATTTACTGCCAGATTGCACAGAAACAAGTAACTTGAGTGGTCATCTGTGGGTAACACAGCGCAAGGTTTAAGTTCCATTTTCACAGAGACCAAGAAAAAGTCCGTTACCCTGTTTTATTCCTACAAGTTTACCAGACAACAATATCCAAAAGTCATTACAAACAGATCTAACTGCATGTGCTCTTTGATTCTCAGGGTCAAAAATAACAAGTGACCCCAATCTGTCAAGAAAATAAGAACTGTCAAGTTTTTTGATAGTTCAGCATAAATATTTATAGAACTTCATGCTTCATAACACTCCATGTCCTTATATTAGCTTTTTATTCCTTCAAAATATGGAGGCAGGAGGAAAGCTTTAAAAAGGCTCGGATGAAAACAATCTAGTCAATCAAGACCAGACAAAGAGTGCAGCGTGGCTTCCTGACATCTGGGGTGCTGCAGTTTTGGCATGAGAAGGGTGGCTACAAAGTAATGTCTCTATTTCACCTGGACTACTTGGGGTGCAGTTCATTTCAAATTAACTTTGATGTTTCTCCCATTTGAATTTGCATTTACAAGGGAATCTGTGGCTGCACAAGAACAAAAACAGTGATTACATTGCTGTTATGAAAGTAAATAAAGGCTTGTGTCACCCAGGCTGCGCTGTCAGATTGGCTCCACAGGGCACTTCTGGTACAAAAAAAGCCACGAGCTGCAACTGCCAACATCAGACTGAACGGTGACATTTCCGCTGTGCACCTGAACTTACAACGTGTTACCTTATTTGTTCCTACATGTGTACCTTACTATCAGTATCAATCCAAGCAGTCTTTTGATGTTAGTCAAACACGGGTCTCTAAAGGGAAGTATGCAAGATTAAGTTCACTCCTGTCTTATTAGCCCACAAGGTTGAAAAAAAGTAACAACCTGGGACAGATGGGTGCAGAAAAATCTCAAATCCATTATGCTCAGATCTCAATCACTGCAGCGTCTTCCAGGTAACACTGCCAAAGTTAAAAGAACACAACACGCACCTCCACCGTTTGCTTTCTTAGCTAAATATGTTCAAGCAGCACCAGTATGATAACACCGCACCAAGAGAATTCACACTTAAATTTTCAGACATCTGAAAGCTATAAGCAAATTGCACGAGCAAGGGTGAAAGATGTAATTGTGTGGCTGCTCCGCAGTAACTGTCCACGTATATGCTTTTACCTGCATCGACTACTAGACAAATAGACATGGAAGACAGACAATCATGTGACCTTGCATGGTGGGAGCCCATTCACCTCCCTAAGCACCAAGATCCCAGGAAGAAATTGCTTTTTAATCTCTTGACTGTTCACACAGATGTAGCCTGTTGCTTGCCACAGAAGAGCACAATACAGCCTGCCATACTGAGGCCACTCCTGGTGCATCCTACCAGTTTTGGGGATGACCCTGGGACAAATTAGCTCTCTGTTGAGCTGCTGCACAGCCAGCCACAGAGAGGGTACAGCAGTGGGCCCTCAGCTACCTCGGCCGACATTAAGGCATGAGACAACAGCACCCTGTTGATAGGGGCCACGCTCATTTTTCCAAGGAAGCTCTGGAGCCAGGAGTTATTCCCTTTTTTTGATGGGAGTGGAAAGACAGAATCAAGATCCTACAGACCAAGTTCAGGGGAAAAATGGGTGCTGCCCTGTAAGCTCCTTCCTTATTTGTCAGGTAATACAATTCTCCAGTTTTCAGACTCTCTCCTCCATGTCAGTGCACGCATATACGTACTATAAGGGCAGGAAGACAATAACACTGAAACAAAAGGCTCAAGGATTTTTAGATTTAAGCTTTAACAAAACCTGATTTTACAGCTACAAGCAAAGCTATTATTAGTTTACAGGGCAGGTATGCAGAAATGACAGTATTAGCATCTATTATCTTTCTAGTCTTTTAATACAATAACCACTTCTGAACAAAAGAGTACTGAATTTCAAAATCCTTGTCTTAAATCATTACCAGGTCAAAGAGTGACTCCAGTATTTAGGCACAAACCTAAGTGCATTTTTAATTTACTGACTTGCATTAGCCAGTTAGGGACAAAAGCTAAAAATAGGACTATTTTGTTAACATTTATCTATGTATTACTAAGACAGTATATCTTCCAATTAAATGAAGGTAATTTTTTTCCTCTGTCAGTTCAGGGAAAAGTGTTTTAACTTTTGGATACTCCTTGCATGCATCAATGCTGCCATCTCCTGGTCGGATTCATGTGGGAATCAGACTTCCCTGGTTGTTCTGACCGATGTCTCCACTGATTGTGAAGAATGAGCAGTGCAATTAAAGTCTCAAAGTGCCTTAAAGTCAAGACAAAGCCTCTTTCTATATACCGATTTAAACATTTTGTTTCAGTATATCTGAAACATGTTCCTACATGGCTGTAGCTAACAAAATAAGATCTGCTGCAAATAGCACCAGGAACCTACACAAAGCCTTTCACATGGACTCATCTGAGTTTATTGGAAACACCTTATCTTAAAGCACTACCTTCTGCACAGGGTCCAAGCCTACTTACAGCTGGAGCAGCTGTTCAGAATTAGGCAGTATTCATCTAATTCATCACCACAAGGCTACCGAGCATTTTTCTCTAGACAATAAGACAAGACACAGTAAAAAAAGAACAAAGAGGGGATAGGCCTGCTTACAAGGGGGTTCAGTGCAAGTAAGTCATCCAGGCCTTGATGACTCAATAGCCAGGGAGCTGCAAAAGCTACAAGATATACACAGCTCACTGTTCATCCAGGGAAACCAGCAGCAAACAGCCTACTGTGAAAACGGCTGAAGAAAACTCCCAACCAAAAGGAGATTTTTTTTTTTTTTTTAATTATTTTGTGGTTAATGTGACAAAGAATCTGGAGTAGCTGGTTGGACTAGAAAGAACCCATCGCATTGCCACTGCAAATTCTGGAATAAGCACTCGTCTGCAAGCCACCATGACACCACTTCTAGTTCACTAGCAGGTCCTTGCTCCTCTATCCAATATGTTCTGTTCTTTAGGCAAAGCCAAACATAGACAATGACATCATCTTTAGAAAAGACTACAACTCCTCCTAGTCTTCAGAGATATATTATTATTATAATATTAACATATCCCATTTAGATTAACAGCCTTTTGCTTCCATCCTTCATGCTCCAGGCTAACCATTTGCTACATGACTGGTTTTGTAGGATTTAGTAGAGAATCAAAGATAACATGTGCATTTGGTTTTAGGCACCTATACTACAGTTTGACCACTAACCTTGCAGGCATGATCTCTGCAGGAGATGTATCCAGAAACGTTTGAAGGAGGACAGAGCAGGTGTTACAGTTGCTATTAAGGGCTTATGCTGGGTATTTAAACTGGGTTGATGCATGGCAGGTTTTTCTCAGAACCAGGGACACAGCTGGTACAGCACTATTAGCAGCTTTGTACCTCTAAGGAGAGCAGCTTGAGAAAGCATTTCCTTATGCAGCCTGGCATGCACCTTGCACAGCTGATGATCTGACTCACACTCTTAAAAGCTCCCACAACCATACAGTCTGAGCACTTCTTGTCTTTAATAAGAGACAGATATTATCCATGCTCTTAAGACAGGCTACTGAAGGGCAAAGACTAAGAGCCCATTCTGCTAAGATGCTGGCACCTGATGTGCTCCTGGCTAAGAGCTGATCTATTCTCTGCACTAATCTGGGCTTGGGTGAGGATCAAGACCAAATTTTTTCCACTTAGTAATTAGCCAGCCATTCTGCTACAAGGCAGGAGAAGAGTAGTCTGAGGACAGAGAACTGTTCTGGAATACGTTAGTGGCTGGTGATTTAGGAACTCAGTGACTCCAAGCAAATCTCTGGCTTGCATGTCTAAGCCTGCTTTGAAAACTGGGTACAAAAACATGTGGTAAGCTCCAGAAAACTTTTCTGTGTGGCAGCTTTAAACC